ACGGATGGTTACTTTGCCAAAAATTCGGTAAAAAGGCGGATGACAGGTGATTGAAATGTTGTCGTAAAAATTATTTTGCTACGTTTGGCAAAAACCTACACATGCCAAGGTGCCCTGAGGTTGACGTGGGGTAGACCAGCGCCAAGTGAAATTTACGCGAAAATATTTACACAGATTATTCAACCAGCTTTGAATACACACCTGCCGATTTCAGAAGAGTTGTAACATAAAATTACAACATCTCAGTTGGATGTGACTGGCGAAAAAAATGCTCACGTGCAACCTCAACACTCACGCAGAACCGGTTAGCGGAAATGTCCTCATTGGAGAACATAACAAACGCAGTGACGTTGTTCAAATCGAATTCTTTGGAGAAGCATGCATGCATATATAAACTGAAGTTATTAGTTGTTACAACTGCTGCTGTTATTTACAACACCGATTGGTAAAGTCTCAGGAAGTCGCAAACGATGAAATCGATGGCGTAAATCCAATGACTTGTCGAATACCAAGAACTAGGCCAATCGGCATCTATCAAAAAAATCACAGTGCTTATAACCTAACGGAAACAATTCCGACAGAAACAAACTTGACCGCCGAATCATTGTGAACAAAACCAAAAAGGAATCACCCGAAAAAGCATCCTTAGTAAATTAGCCCCACCTCAATCCACATGACTTAAGTTGAGTGTCAACAGCTCAAGAAATTCGCTTGCAAATAAGCACCAGAAAAAAATCAATGTAAAATGAAACCTAAACTGAGGGTTGTGCTTTCTAATTCTAGGATATATAGGTGAAAGGATAAGGCAGCGCTTCAGGCTGACATTTAGAAAACTGCGTACTGATTGAGAAAACCAATAGCAGATAATAGTGAAAGGAACGCCTTCGATGCGGAAATGCCAAATAAACAGTTACAGACTAAAGGACAGGGGAGCAAAACGTTCATATGCATCTTGTATAAAAAACTGAATATCTACCTTCTACTTGAAATCGTCTTCCTGAAACTTTCTGAACATTCATTGTCTGTTCCTCAATTGCAAGCAAATGCAAAGTGCGACTCCACGAATTCCGATTTACGCGGGAACATACTACTCGCATGCCTTCCCATAAGTAGTATCATCGTAGCACTAGGAAGCACATTATGCCATTAAGGTTCATCCGGTGGACGTCGAAACATCTGTCACCGACACTTGGCCTGGTACTTTCATCTTGTGCGTGTAAGATGCGTCCACCCACCAAAGAGAGATGACCATTAGGGTAGACTGGTCAAACAAGTTGCGAACCTGTCTAAATTCCAAATCTGCGTCACCGTGAGGTTCACATCAATCAGTTGATCAACGTCAGGTTGAAGAGCTTGCATGAAGTTGTGTTTGGTTACCACGTCTTCACCGATTTCAATAGTAGCTAAACAGAATTACTTCTGTCTTGACCCCATCGTCTCGGTTACAGGAGACCAAACAAGAAGAATGCTCACGTCAGTACTGCAAGTTCTAATTCGATCCTCTCTTTGTAGATGATCAAGAATGGTTCCATCAAGACGCACTGACTGCCTTACCAACAGCCATACGTATACGGATCACATGGATGGTCGTGGATTGTCCCTCTTTTGATGATAGCGAAGCAGCCTACCAATCGGAGTGCATTGATGATCCTCCGGGGTTTTCATCTGTGTGACACAAAATTAAGAAATGCTGAGTGGTCGCCCAAACTATTTACTGTACACACGTATGGTTTTTGTCCAGATTTTGCTAGCGATGGAGCAGCGCACCCGCAGCAGTCGGTATTTTTTGGAGCCCTCGTTAAATGCACGTGAGATAAGACGAACTGAACAACCATCAAAATGCAACGTGATGATGGAAAAACGGAGGAGTGGATTGGACTGTCATCTCGAAATTACAGTTACTCAATGTTCGGTAGTTTGGGAAATCGACAACACTGACTTCACTGCGTTCAGCCCATACACCCATCAAACAAGTAAAATGGTCTGCAACTTCCGGAAGCTGAAGGGAATTGGTATTTTGCCAGCTGACTCTCCCATCACCCCCTTCATCCAGTCCCTAAACTACACGATCAACGTATTTTGGATTTTGGATGGGACGTTTGCTGCGGCGTAGTGGTGTTCCCCAAATTGATAATCATGAACCCTTCGATAATTCGGTGAAATGGTGGACCAATGTTCGGTGGTTTGGGAAATCAACAACACTGACTTCACTGCGTTCATGGCCCACTGCGTTCAGCCCATACACCCAGCAAAGAAGCAAAATGGTATGCAACTTCCGAAAGCCGAAGGGAATTGGTATTTTGCCAGCTGACTCTCCCATCATCCCCTTCATCCAGTCCCTAAACTACACGATCAACGTATTTTGGATTTTGGATGGGACGTTTGCTGCGGCGTAGTGGTGTTCCCCAAATTGATAATCATGAACCCTTCGATAATTCGGTGAAATGGTGGACAGCGAAACAAGATTACATGAGTCCGGTTTGCAACTGAACGCTTCATGTTGGGAAACAAAGGATCGGAATGCAATGAGATTGGAATCAACTAAACCCGTCGATTACTAGAAAACGTCCGATCAACTGCAATGTTGTGTTTTCTCGCTTTGCATAATGACAGACTATTAACGATTCCCATCGACAACAGACGCGGTTAAATGAAGCCACGCGGGAGAGCAGTCAAACTTGCTCTCTCCATGTTTACTCTCTTGTTGTCTGTCTGATCATTCTCACCGGGTTTCAGTGCATCCGAGAAAACAATGAGCACAACTCAGGTAAAAATGCGAGACTGTTCCCTCGTAAAGAAGTCGTTTCAGTTTGTTCAACACTGAGGGAACCCACGTTGCTGACAGTTGCCCCCAAATGGTGTACATCCTAGAAAACCTATCCTACGGAAGGTGCTGCCTGTTTTCGTTCACAATCATTAAACAATTACGATATTTTTAATAAATGACTGATTCGGAAGATTGAAAACCCTATCCGCCTTTACGATCGATTCTATTCTACTCCACAAGAAACGTGGACTTTGATCTTCCGAGTGTAAACAAAAGAATGAACAAACCTAAACTCACTGCGTTGACGATGTTGATGCAAGTTGAAGTGTGATATCTCGGATAAAAATTATCTTCCAATCGCACTGTTGGCAAACACCAGTTATCCTGAAGACTGGATAACGTCAAAATATGAAGTTTACTACCTGTCTATACAGTGTGATTTGCCAAAGTAGCTACTTTGAAGGGAGACCACCAGTATTGAATTAAAGCTATTGCCTAATCTCAAGTGCGTTCTCTACGCAGGTGATTTGGCATCAAACCATAGGCGAAGGGAACAATATCGAAGACTCTCCTGATGAGTGCTTTTTTTCAATTGACGTTGGACAGGGGTGCGTGGCAGTTTCCTAAGCGAGCGTTACACTTTTGTATTTGAAACAAGTTATTTCGCCTGGCGCATGTGATGGAATAGGAATAATTTATATGCTGCACTTATTCAACTGATAAATGTCTCTCGGTAATAATGACCCTTCATTAGTAAAATAGATCTTATCAATAAATCTTGCTCAAGTCATTTAGCTCTATAAGAATTCCCGAGTTGGAAATGATGCCATGAATCTCTACCACTGTCCCTTGGAATGATGTCAACGAGAAGTACAAGATTACGACACTCAGTGGCAGAAAAAGAGGCCACGAAATTTCATTCTATCCCGACCGCTTGTTCTGAATCTGACAGAAAAAATATAACAGCGTCAAATATCACCTCTTTTCGGACATTATGTATCAGATGGTCTTTGATATTTACGTTTTTCGACGCGGTGCACTTACGACATAAGTTAAAATTAAGAAGGTGGCTTCTACTATTCGTTCCTATTTGATGTTCTGTCGGAAAAATTCTGGATGTCCACCGACACTAACGAGGCTTGAGGTCGTTAGGTCGTTCGGTTAGCTGGACAATTTGATTACAGCCGTTTCAACGTCAACCGAGATGACATCTTCAGAGCTTTGTTAGTGATCGTAGCGGTATATCGGTGTTTATGCGTTGCCTAATGCTGCACGCGTGTTAATATACGTCCTGCTAACCGAGGCTGAACTACGAACATGATTGGCTGTTCGGCCGGGCGATTCCATTGTGTGCTGTTGTTCCGCGTCATGATTGATCAATAACAACGTGACCTTTGAAATACCACAATTCTTTCTGAGCCAATGACCTCTCTGCGAGTTCAGATATATTCTTGATGTAAGACAAAACTACCCGTCTGGTCAATTCAAGCACTTCTTGATAAAATTCCTTGGATTTCCATTGTTCTAGGACACACTGAGTAGATGGATTTCTTCCTTCTTCCATAGTTCGTCCATAGCGCTGCAAGACACCATATACCCCTTTTAACAGGGTTATAAAGCAGTCCTTCCTGTGATACATTGAATGTTTGCTGTTGTATTTCAGTAGTTTTTTCGTAAGTCTCTGTTTACGGGATATACCGGTTGCCAGAGTCCCATCTACCAAACCAACCTTCCCATCAATAGAAAACGATGCCTGTGTTCAATGTGTATCCACCGGAAACCTGTAAGAGACGAATTACAGTTTGGTCTGACACGAACTGACCGAGGTTCCAACAGCTGTTTGTATTTAAAGTCTACAATAATATTCGTATTTTGTTATAAGAAATGGACACTTTGCGTGTAAAGTAAGCTGTGTAAACAGTGAAGGTAACGAAAAGTAGGTAGATCCTTTTTATTGCCAAAACTAACAATTCGTCCGATTCACTATGCATCTCCTGGCACTCCTTCTGGCGTTTCCTAGTGTAAAGTAGATTGACCATTAATCCGCAGCACTAAAACCCAATGAGTATGATTAGAATGATAAGGAAGTAAACATGGCGATAGCAAGTTTGACTGCCATCCCGCGTGACTTCAGATAACCACGTCTATTGTCGATGGGAATGGTTAGTAGTCTGCCTTTACGCGAAGCGAGAAAACACAGCATTGCAGTTGATCGGACGTTGTCTGGCAATCGATGGGTCTAGTTGACTCCACTCATGTTGCATTTCGTTCCTTTGTTTTCCATAATGAACAGTGCAGTTTCCGACCGGAGTCAGGTAATTTTGTTCCGCTGTCCACCAGTTTAAAGTCCGAATTACAGGAGTATCAATTTCGGGGAACACCACTACGCCGCAGCAAGCATCCCATTCGAAATCCACAATTCGCTGATCGTGCTGTTCGGGAACTGGATGAAGGGAACGATGGAAATGTCAGCCGGCCGAATACCACTTCCCTTCGGCTTCCGGAAGTTGTAGACCCTTTTGCTTGTTTGATGGGTATGCCCCGAAAGCAGTGTAGTCAATATTGTCGGTTTACCAAGCCCCCGAACATTGAGCAACTGTAATTTCGAGATGACATTCCAATCCCCTCATGTTTTTGATGGGTATGCCCCGAAAGCAGTGTAGTCAATATTGTCGGTTTACCAAGCCCCCGAACATTGAGCAACTGTAATTTCGAGATGACAGTCCAATCCATCCCCTCATGTTTCCTTCAGCATTTTGGTGGTTGTCCCGTCCGTGTTATCTCAGGTGTATGAAAGAGGGCTTGATGAAAGTAGCGACTGCTACGAGTACGCTGCTCCATCGCTAGCAAAATCTGGACAAAAACCATACGTGTGGACAGTGAATAGATTGGGCGATCGCTCAGCATTTCTTAATTTTGTGTCACACAGATGTGCATGGTGGTCTCTCTCAAAAGATGAAAACCCCGGAGGATCATCAATGCACTCCGAGTAGTAGGCTGCTTCGCTATCATCAAAAAAGGGACAATCCACGACCATCCATGTGATCCGTATACGTATGGCTGTTGGTAAGGCAGTCAGTGCGTCTTGATGGAACCATTCTTGATCATCTACAAAGAGAGGATCGAATTAGAACTTGCAGTACTGACGTGAGCATTCTTCTTGTTTGGTCTCCTGTAACCGAGACGATGGGGTCAAGACAGAAGTAATTCTGTTTAGCTACTATTGAAATCGGTGAAGACGTGGTAACCAAACACAACTTCATGCAAGCTCTTCAACCTGACGTTGATCAACTGATTGATGTGAACCTCACGGTGACGCAGATTTGGAATTTAGACAGGTTCGCAACTTGTTTGACCAGTCGGTCATCTCTCTTTGGTGGATGGACGCATCTTACACGCACAAGATGAAAGTACCAGGCCAAGTGTCGGTGACAGATGTTTCGACGTCCACCGGATGATTTTTGGCTGTGTGAGCTTCCTAGTATCTGATATTGAATTTCTCAATCACTGCTCAGTTTTTCGAAAGCAAAATGCATGACTGATAAGACCGTGAACTTGTTACCGTGCGGCTGTGTTTTTGGTGGTGTAAATCTTGGAACACAGAATCGTGTTTCTCTCCGCTATTTTTCCATTTGCTTCCATCCAGTATTCAGTGAAGGGGCGTAGCTAATCGCTATACATTCGTGTGTGTTATGCATAAAGGGCTGGCTTATCTGCTGACCGATATATCCTAGAATCAGGGAGAAGCCCCTTCCCTCCCGCTTTAGGTTCCATTTTACATGGATTTTTTCTGGTGCTTATTTGCGAGCGAATTTATTGAGCTGTTGGGACTCAAATTAAATCATGTAGATTGATGATATGGTGAGTCTGATTTACTAAAGATGGTTCTAAAATGATTTCTTCGTGATTGCTCTGATGACGATTTTCCGTCTTCGTTCACGGCAGGCAACTTAAAGGTTCAGCTGCGTTTTCGGCCAAGACTGCTAAGATTGCTTTATATTGAGTAATATATTCCTAACCTAGTTCATTGCTTCTGGTAGTATCTCCATCCATCCATGCAACTAAATTTTTCGCTTGCAGGTTTGTACAACTGCGATTTGTTAATCTGCCACAGCCTTAACCTCTGCGAGATAATTGCTGATGGTAATTAGTGATCGGTACCCTCCCCTCCGTGGATGGACATCTCAACTCCGTTTAATTTACGGTCAACCTTTCGAGTATAGGCACACTGTATTTTATCGATTGAATCAAATGGGACTACTGATCGGCGATAATTTGCTTCGTCGAGTAATCATGTATTTGTTTTAATTACTTTCCTCTTCGACATACTGTGCCACGTCCCATTAACTCGATGCCCCAACTGCAGGATTCAGGCAAGAATTTTCTTCTGTGCATATTCTTAAATCTAACTGTGTAGCGGACCTTCGGCAGGTATCAATGATGAACTCGAGCAGAATCAGATTTTCCATTCTTTTCAGACGTGTGATCAGGAAAGCGCTTTGGGCATAACCCATCCCATCCAAACCTAAAAACAAATAACCTCTCCTTTAAATATGTAACGCCGTAAACGTTGCTGTTTTTTGGTTTAAAATGACCCGTTCTTCAAAAGTTACGACACAGAATCCCCTCCTACTTCTAGACAACTATTTCACTCGACTCAGATTTAGCAAGTTCTTTTCAAATTAAAATCCATAAGAGATGTTGAATACTACTGAAAAATGGGTAATTTCTATCGAGGATCTAAATGCATGCACGGTGGAAACAAACTTCAGTTAATCAGCTGAGGAAAGACAAACACTTCTAGCCACACTCAGAACGATGAAAAACCTGAAAATCACCGTCACATGCGCTATTTTCCCTTATCGGAATACGCCACTACTGATTTGCTTGGGCAATCAATTTACGCAGTGGGCAGCAGAGTAGTCGTACATTTATCGATAATCAATAAGCTGATAGTGACCTATCAGTGTTGACTAAACTTAGAAATGAGTGGTCATCAGACTGAGGGTGGTGGTAGGCTGCATCTACTGGTGCAAATGAGCGTGCGTGCGTGCGTACGTGCTTTTCTGGACATGAGAGTGTGAATATGAATGCGTTCTCGTCACATGCAGCAAAAAAACCACGTGCTATTGACGGGAAAGAGGACCAACGGTAGAAAAACGAATTAAAATACCACATTCACGAATACCGCATAGGCCTTGTGTACGTTCCAGTTTTTTTCGTAACAAACTTACAGTGTTCGATGGTCCTTCAACGTCTCAGCCCTACTTATTTCGGTGCTACCAGAGTTCATTAAGTGACATTTTCTATTTGATAATCCACACTGGAAAAACTTTTGCATGTTCCGCCAGACACTGTGTCCTTTTGACGTTGGAGCTTTAGTTGGTGAGCGACCTCTTGGTCAGACCAGGACGAGGATGATGGTAAATACACTCATGTGCGTGCACTCCTAATAGACGGTATCTTGTGGGGCCTACGAAACGTCGAGTCCAACTCCAAGGCTACCAATAGAGAGGAACTGATGGATACCAAACAGTAACCGCGTGTTTGTGACAGAAATATTAGAAGTAGATGATGCTCATTCAAAAACTGTCCAAGGTGAGAACTACACAGAGCGCCTACTGAGCTTGCTGAATTAACTTAGCACTGATTATGAACCCGCGTTTATCGATGCTTTGTCAATCCGAAATCCATTCCTACGTAAAAGTAACGCAAGACCTAACCGGGGTTGTTCATCATGCCACGCTCCTGGCACAACCCTTGAACGAGCCCATCAAGAATGTTTTGAACGCCTACCTTTAAAAGTGCTATTCCTAAGGAATCGGTGAATGAGTCACTACAAGTCGTCCCGAAATAAATGTACAATCCAATTCAACTCAAGACTCAATCTTACACGAAACTGCTGTGTCGTCGTTTGCCGTTAGAAAATTATGGCTTCTAATCCACTTCCAGTCCACGTTCGTGTAAGTTTCAAGCTTCTTCCGGAACAATTGTCTTTGTTCCCACTGCAAAGTCCCTTTGGGCTCAGTCAGATGACTCACATCCCGTTCCATTCAGATAGCAGGTTATTACCTCATGTCTGGGTATAAAGTAAGTTAGAGCGGGTAAACAATACGTCGCTTGTGATAAGATCGTTTTTTTAAAAAAATAATCCTCGTATTCTGGTCAAAATAATTGACAGAATATATTGGGTGATCTCAAGCATTACGGAAAAGTGCTATGCATTCGAATTACTCGGTACAAGCGTAGTCCAGTCAGGTTGATATGTCCTATTTTTCCGAAACGACGCGAAAGGTGTCAACCACAACATCAAACAACAACTTTTTCATTTCGTACTCCCCACAAAGACAAGTGTAAAATTTTGACACTAATGAATGCGGCTGTAACAAAATCATCAAAAACCAGATTGATTTTTTAAATTTTCTTAGCTCTTGTTAACCACATAATCTTTAGAGACACGTGACTGATTTATTTTTATATGCTTTTTACATGTCACTACATACAGTTCGTCCTATCCACTCAGATACACTTTGAATACAAGAGTCGAATTTGGCGTTTTATTATGTGACTATTTTATGAAACAACTAATTTCTATAGAAACAACCTCGCTAGTGAGTCCATGATTATAAATTTCTGTGAATTTCGATGCGAAAAAATGCTTGGCTGCTCAAAAGCAGGTTGTATTGTCAATCTCGAATGAGACGTTTTGTGATATTCACCATGGTTTTGGGATAAATTTTTACCACAGGACCCGGGGTTTTGTACCGGATAGAATCCAGTACCAAATCCGCTCAGGTACTAGTTTGTAGTCACTCGTACCATTGGAGAAATGCTCACACATCTACCTGGAAGGGTATAGATATGGACTCCCCCTCACAGAATCGTCGGATGCTTACCACCTTTCGAACAAAGGTGTGACAACCGCACAGGGGTTCAGAGGTTTTCAGCATAGAGCAACGTTACTGGCAAAGTGAATTTTGTACTTTAAAACTCCAGATGTTATAAATAAAGTAAGTCTGACCAGAGAAATCAATGGCTGTAGAAAGTTATAAATCACTTGAATGGGAATTTGGCATAAATCAGTAGGATTGTAGTCTGAGGTTCGAAGCGTTGTGGACACAAAATATCCATGTGGATCCATGTAATAAGTGCAAATGCACACCTAAAACCGAAGTACACGAGTTAACCTAATTGCACATATCACAGTCGGCCTGTGTTTTGTCACTGTGGGTGGAAATGAACGCTCACCGTATGTAGAATGTTCCCGAAAAACTTGCCGTCCTATGACTTGATAACACACCTGAAAACCTACACAAGCTGGACCAAAGTCAGTTCGTATGATCCAAACTTTCCTCGTCGTCGGGTAGATAACAGAAGGCAAGGCGTCCGTTTAATTTCTGTCAGGATAAGTGAGGAGTGGTGGCACAGCAAATTCCGGTTGCACTCAAACATAATTTGTCCAAAAGCCACTTCAATTCTCCGTGGGCTTAGATCATAGTTACTTTCTATGGGGTAGAGAAGAATCACCTTGTTATATTGTACAGTTTCAGATCATTCCATCTTTTAGACTTTCGCGTTGACAGTAAAGAAATGTCATGTCTC